CGCCTCCCTTTTTCACCGTGTTCGATCTTTTAATCGAGTCACGGTTAAAAGTGCTTACCGGTACTCGAGTTCAGAGGCCCGAACGAATTTTCGACGGAAATCGTCATTGGCTACTTTGTATACCCAGCGATGCTGGTAAAAATGTGGAACGTCAAGTCGGAACAGGAAATACAGAACATCGGAATCGCAGATTCTTAAAGCCGAATTTATAGTCGTTTCTTAATTTTCAACTGCTTGTTGCATATTTCAGTTTCGTGATACTTGATTGATGAAAATCGAAGATGTATTTTTAAACGATTAACATTTTTTTAAATTTCATTGAAGCATCTACGGTCATTGTGGTAGGCTTACTCACTTCAATAAAATTAAAAAAAATCTTAATCAATAATGAAATAAAACTTCTTATCAACAAGCAGTTGAGACCTTTGATTGAGAACTGAGTACTGAGAAGTGAGAAACGACTATAAATTCCGGCCTTAATTTCTCTCGGCGTTCGCCGATTCTTTTAGAAGCGCATTTGTTTCAATGCATTGGGTGGCAGATCAAACGACGTCGTTGGAACGGGCAGACGGCACCGATAAAGGGCTTAATCGAGACTTAATCGGCTCGCGGAGCCTTGTAACGCTTTACGACGATTCGTCCTCAACATTAAAATGTGTGCCACGCCAGAGTGCAGCGTGTGCCAGCACGCGACGCGAAACTTTCATTCCCGGCGTGCTCGAAGGATCTTTCACGCGTTCCCGAATCGTAGTTCGATGATGATCCATTCGAAAATAACCAGCCGATGCCTATTCTTCGCCACGTTTCTATTCCGGTCGGACAGTGGCGCTTACTATATTGCTCTTATCCCTCGTGACTTACCGCTGATCAACGCCACGGATTCCGCTATCCTCTTTTTCTATTCACTCGTTTTCGGTCGTTTTAGACCTTGCAGAAAGAAATGAGAACGGGTCGCCGCGAGACAACGCATGTTTTCACTGATTGCAGAGATCGAGCTGCCACCGGCGGGAACGGTGGATTGGTTTACAACGGCTGAGAGGATCCCGGGTTATTTCCGATGTTTATCTGGTACGTCGTACTAGATAGAGGCGAATCGGGTTTGGCAAAATCGCGGAAAAGCGGCTTGGGCTACTTGGCAACGCACGAAAATTACCGAGCTCGACACATCGCGTCGGCCCGGATGCGGATTTTAGAGTGCCGGTCTTATTTGAGGAAAACGGACCACGCGACTCGCGGTGAACCAGCTCGATCCGAGCATAGATCAGAGTCTCTTCGATCCTTTCCGAAAAGAAAATTATTTATTATTATGTGATTTTGGTAACTGGATGAGAGTCAAGCGAAACAGGAATGAAATCATCTGTTTCTTTCTTTTCGCAGTTTCAAAGAAATTACGTGCGCCGTAAAATTTCTTTTCTTACAGAAATATTGACATTTTTCTTTGATTCGTTAAAGACGTTCTTGTTTCACGAACATTAAAATTTAATTTCTCTCCTACCGTTTTGAATTTGTATATTTTTCCACCGACGCCAGATATACGTATTCTGACTCCACCTACGAAATTACCATACGACTACCGGTGTCCGTGGAACGTCCGGAGAAAAATCGATCCGGTACTCGGTATCGTAGCGTAACGCAATCCCGTAAATCGATCGGGCCGAACATGGCAAACGGAGACCCGGATCGCGGTCCTGGGCTCTCTTTTAAGAGCAGCTTGAATTTTCCCTCGGCCGTGTTTCGCGTCCACCGTGGTCGGCCACCGCAATGGGAACACGGTCGCCGTTGGTGGGGCGCCCCGCAAAGTTACCAAATCGCTATGGCGTAACATTTTGCTTATTCACGTTCGATTATACAATCCGGCACACTTTTACTTCGCCGAGGCACACGAATCTCTTTCGCCGTCCAGGAGTGGGATCACTTTCGGTTCCATGGCCCATGCACAGATTTTTCTCCCCTCCGCCGAAGTGACTCTTTCCAAGCGCCAGCTGCCCGTCCCAATTAAATAATTACCGGTACTTGGGCGAACGGTAGCGAATTTCGAGAACATTGATTTTTCCCTTTCGAATCGCACTAATTTCTGTCCTCAGTTACTCATTGCCAATCAAGCGATTTAAATTTGTACAACACGGATCTCGGCGACCGATTGTAAGCTTTCCATTAGCCGATGCGATGAGTACATCCGTTCGCGATAGATAAAGACGTTACGTATAAAAATCGATTTTTCCGTAAACTAAGTAAAACTCGGTCTAGCCGTAAACTGCAGAAAAAACGACGAGGAGTTTCCACTGGCTCTTGAGGAAACAGAAACTGGGTTAAACACGTTGCCACGCTTCGGGAACACTTTCAATCAGGGAAAGTCCGGCACAGACCTTCCTATACTACTATCTGGCCTAGTCAGCCATCAGAAGAAGAGGAGGAGGAAGAACCAGTGTCGCTACTGATCAATGAGCAACTATACTACTAGAAAATCCGCGCACCATTCCGTTTCCTGTGCGCGGTTTATAATCGATAACTGTACGGGCGCGTTCGATCGAAGTGAAGTTTCACTTCGACGGAGGCTTTTCACTCGGAGTCTTTTATCGAGTATGGCTGCAACCTTGGCTGTGATCCAATTCGAGCGCCGCTCGCCTGAAATCACGACCGGGCCAGGTGTGTCCCGGCGAAATCAGCTGTCGTTCCATCGGACGCGATCGGAAAGGCGAAAAGGTCGCGCAATCCGCGACGCGATCACCGCCTCTCGGAAATCCAAGGATCTCTGAGCGAGATTTGCTTAAAAATCAATTCTCGGATTCTGTAACGAGTAATTATCGTTTAAAGGAGCCACGAGGAGTCATTCTCGTTCTTCCGATTTACGATCTTAATTTTTTTAACCGAAGCGAGGAAGAGCGTCCGCTCGAAAGGGAAATCGCGCGGGATTAAACGGGGACGCGAGCGAGAAAACCGGCGGTGAAAACGAAATAGAGAATAGAATAGAGAAAAAGAAGGAAACGAGAGGAGGAAGAGATCGTTTGGCGGATCGCAGTCGATCCTATCGACGTATGGCGGCAACGACGGCGGCCAGGAAGCGAATCTGGGCCGTTGAATCAGGGAAAAGTTAAGTGGGTCAAGAGAACGAATGTACTCGGATGATGTCGGCGTCGCCTCGTTGCGACTTCTGTCGGCGAGGATGACGAGCCTTCGTGGCTTCGCGTACGTACAGGTACGAAACGTCCGTCGTCGCCGTGTGCAATACGTATACCGCCACTTCCTCCGCCTTTTCCCAACGACGTCCCCCTTCTTCACTGGGAACCTCATTACGGGAAACTCGCTTACTCCTTTCACTTCGCATCTACCTGCCACGAGGAAATCGCGAGGTTTCTCCGTCTCCGTCGCACGTTTTCGCCCAAACTAGACGCGCTTCCTAGTGCACGTTCACTGGTAATGGTTACGTTAGAAATTCAGCACGAGCTTGATCGATATTTCTAGCCAAGCGCCACTTCTAACTTGCGTTTAACTCGCGTTCATGGGATTCCTAAATGTTTCAAGGATCATCGAATTCGGAGAAGCGGAGTCTACGAAATGTCCAGATTAAAATAAAATAATATAAGAATACGAATTTCATTCCTCTGATAGCGATGATAAAGATGTCAACCATAATCGATTTCGCTGCATTTAGGACAACACACGTAAATAGATATAGTAAGGCAAATTAATTGAATGTTCTCGGTGACAAATCTAATTTACTACGGGAACCGGTACTCACGTTCTTGAAAGCTTTCTTGTTTCAATCAAGATTTCTTTCACGGGTAATCTGTTTTGCGGTTTTGCTCGGAACGCCCCGCGCCGCTTGTATACGGAACACGGGGCTTACAGATCGAAGGAAGAACGATGACAGAATAGCACGCGGATTAGAGGTACTTATCGGGATTCGCGGTGTGGTCGAACTGACAAGAACCGACCGTGGTCACTCGGCTAAAGTGTTACGAGCTGTTCTATCCTGTTAAACTAGCGATTCGCATTTTTTCCCCCTTTTCCCCCCGAGACAGCGAGAAGTTGCCGTTACGATTTCCGTCGAATGTACATAGCAATGTATGCAATCGAAGTAAGTATCTTCCGGTTCTATTGTTGCGACTAGACGTCGCATAATGCGCCGGAAAACTGACGCATCATAGAATCGTAATTGAGTTTTAAATCCAGACACTGAATTCAGTTACTAAATCCAACGTTGTAGGAAGTATTAACGATAAATTTAGAAATGCCGTGCTTCAAATTCATTCTACTTGCTTCGTTCGCTTATCGAAATACTCGTTTCTTTTTAAAAACTTTTGACTCCGTTCAAGGGGGAAATGAAATTACGCGATCGAATAATTACCTAAGAGACCAGGACACACTTTCTTTCGGTATCCGTATTAATCGATACCCAGTAAGCCGAAATAAACTCGAGCCCTGTCGTCGTTGCGTCACGACTATCGAGTCTCTCGATATCGCCGCGAGATACTGAAATTACTGATTTATTGGCCGACTTCGATCGAATTCGCCGCGCCATACTCCCCCCTCCACCGATCATCTGAACTCGCGAAATCGTAATCGGCGTGTTCTATTTCTGATTAAAAAACGGAGGAAGCCAGTTGACACTCGAACAACGCAATGTTTTCTCAATTTACTTCGAACCAAGTCGAATCTCTTCTCCCTTCCAACTCTTTCGATGACAAAAAGGTTGATGAAGGATTTCTTAAGGTAGCTCGATAGAATTTCCAGAACATATACGATTTTAATACAAGTCGTAAATAAAAAGTAGTTTATTTTACTTTGTTTATACTTTTTTATAATATAAAATTAAAATATATGAATGTGGAAATGATAATATACATTTAATAATGAAATTTTCACTTCATATTCTTATTTTAAAATAAGCCCATTGTAAGGTCCTCTCTTGATACGTTACCCAAATAGCGAGCTACCTTAATGAACCCCGATTGTCCGAGTGTCAACCGTTAAAAAGATGTGAAAGGCAGTGGACTTACGTGTAGGTGGTTGACGGTAGTGCAAGTGTTGTAGACTCTGCGTTTGATGGGGGTGGTGATGATGGGGCGGCCCCATCGTCGGGCCCATCGTGTGGTTCCCGTGTTGATGATGCGGCGAACTTCCTCTGTGCGGATGGTATTGGGAGGGATGATGCTGATGAGGATGATACGAGGGCGGCAGGAAGCCCGCCGTAGACGGATAAACGCCAGGACTGTGACACGCTGACCTGCCAAGCGCTGCTGTCGGACAGTCAATAACGATATTTAATGAGAAACCGTTCGCCTATGCTTCTCGATCATCGACTCTATAACGTCGTCAAACTTGCAAACAGAGTCGTTTTCTGATCATCGACATGCCATCATTAGGTCGTTAAATCGATTAATCTATCTTTACTAAGCAGAATCAATTATTAATTTCCTCGAATCGACTTTCCCATCCATAAGGGAAATCCACGAACTATGTCAATATATTTACTGAATTTTTCAAAACATCTCTTACATTCCTTAATCTCTGATCACGACAGGTCGGATTAATCGATTATTAACGATGCGAAGGAACGATATCAGAAAATCATGGATGGACAGAATTAGGATCATCGGTCTGACTCGTGAATTATGACAGTAATCCTGTCTACGTGCCAGCTAGGGCCGGGGCATTCGTCTGAACTTATTTAAAAAGCCTGAAAAATTGGTTTCAACGTCGCGGGACTCCGAGCCAATGTAATTGGACGTGGGATACGTTCGCTTACCTGATGACAGATGAGAATGATGGGTTGCTAGGCTAGGCTGAAGGGACGAGCCTGGGTTGAGCCTGGCTTTCAGTAAGAGATTCGCGTCCTCGTTACCGCCGGAGGACGTGCTGGACTCGACGTCGCTGACTCCGCTGTCCGCGGGGCTCGCTGGCAGTGATCCGCTTCCTGATTCCATGCAACAGAAATAGAGAAAACGCGCGCGTTTCCTTTGGTAATTGAACCTAGGCCTCGCCGGATAAAAAGGCCGGACTGGAGCGACGCGTATATATGCCACACATATCTGTATCCGCGATTTCGCAACGCTTTGCACGTTTTCCAGTGAAGCGGCGGACCGTATAAAGCGAAAACAACCGACGCTTTCATCGTCGTTTCAAACTTGAGTCGTGGCAGCCGCCCATGGAACATTTAGGGAGTTCAAATACCGACGCACCTCTCCAAATCGAAAAAGTTAACCAATCGACGAAGAGACTTCTTCACCAGTAAACCGAATTCTCTTGATAAAAGTAATCTCCACACGTAATAAGATCTGCCGATTACTTCACTGACCGCGTTCGTATGGAATTCTGAATGTTTAAATCACCGCGAATCGGGGCACGGTTAAAGGCAAGAAAAAGGGTGTCGCGTTGTATCGAGTGGTTCTCGACCCGGTCGAATTTCACGTGTGGACGTGGTCACCGATTCTTTCTGCTTGGTTTCTCCGGCTCTTTGTCCGTCCTTAAGCGAATTAAAGGCTCCAAGGTGGTCCAAACGAGAGCGAAACTCGGGTTAGCTTTATCGAGCACCGCAGAGAGCCACCGACGAACGTGTTTTCGCGTGCGCCGTCAATTAAAGCCATCTTTATGCAACGGGCGAAGGTCGTCCGGTCATTGGGTATGCATATCGCTCGCGCTTCCCACGGTATCTCTCTCTCTGTCTCTCCCCCTCTGGCCACCGTGGCTGCTCCACATAGCTTGAGAAGCAAAGAAAGCGAGAGAGAGAGACCACGAACGAATCTCGAAACCAGTCCTAAGTGGTACTTTCCGTGCGTCTTTTGCACGACGACGTCCGTTTGCCACCTTTTACCCCGTTCGTTTCATTTATGATATCTGTCTTATAGTTTTCACATTTAATTATATTTAATTGCCCGATGCTCGACCAATTAGATTAAAGACGAACTTGAATAGATCGGGATGTTTGTTTAAATTAGATTGGAGAACGTCGAGCAGTAAACGAACAAAGAAACGTCGTCGGGCTAAGTCAGGTTCATTCTATTGGAGGACCTTGCACCGCGAAACCACGAACACCGTGCACTCCCTCCTCTCTCTCTCTGTCTCTCTCTTTAAAGCGACCGATTATTTCGGTAATCGACCGAGATACACGCAGACACACGCTCCTGAACCGGATCGAGTACATACTCTTGCGGCCAGCTTATGCAAGAGTTCGCAAAGCGCCGAATCACGTGTCTGCCTCGATAATTTACGCGAGACGCCGTTACGCGGTGCGTCTTATCGTGCTTCTTTTACTTGGTCCGTTTTGGGAACATCGTTTTCATTTAGTCTTATCCGGACGATTACAGAACGCGTCATTACAAAGACCCGAACCCGCGGGTTTTAAACGGCGGGTACACGTGTTTTCGGGTGGTCCGGCAGCGATCGCACTGAGAAGCGAGAGATGAAATCTTTTTTCTGGTCGCTCGTTCGGGAAGCCGAGAAATCGATATTGCTAGTCTGCGCGGTTAAACAGAAATTTTCGCCTTTTTATTGCCACCTCGTCGTCTCTAACGATTAATGTTAGCGGCGGGGAATTACTGGTCGAGCGAGCGGGCCAATGGGAGCGCGCGTAACCACGCTTCGGTGTGCCCATGAAAAGCGTGCCGAGAGGAAAGTCAAGCGTTTACCAGCAAAGCCGTAGCCACGCCGGAAGTGATTTCCTGTCGGCTGTTTACCAGCCAGCCGTCGATATTGCTTTGTAAATATTATTACTGGCCGAGCCGATCCGATCGGGTCCGAGCCGTTCCAATAGAAAATCGATGCGCTCCCTCTGTTCCGTTTCGCGGGTATACAAAGTTTTGCTCCTCTTTTCATCTCATCGCGTCGCATCGCGACCTTGCACGTGTTTTATACGTCTCTTCCCGCGAGCGCCTCGCTCCAATTGATTTCACCTGTCGCGCGTTCACCGCGCGATCCTTTCCATTTGCTTTCTCCGCGTTTCTATTGTAATCGCGCGCCGCAGATTTTCGTCGGAAAACGTGCAACCCGTTGCATTACGTTTGTACTTATCGTGAATGACTTAGAGTGGAGTCCATAAATATCAGTATACATCTCGAAATGTGGTCACTTCGTTAATGTGGAACCTGACGAATTAACCCCGTGTCAGTTATTAGAGAGGTCAATTTTAACAAGAAATTAAAAAAAATTACTAGAACGGATTTACGAAGATAATATTTGAATGATTTAAAACATACTTTCTGTAGATCTTAAGAGGTTGTATGAACCCTTACATAAAAACAATGATAAAACATTGAAATTTTAACAGTTACTAGATATTACATGTAAATAAAAAAAAATAAAATATATAAAAAAAGTATGCAAAAGTAAGAATTATAGGACATGTAGACATTGTATCCAATTGCCAGTTTCGTATAAGCGCATACAACCTTAAATGTAAAAAAAAGTTTTATTAATCGATTGACGTTGCTATGATTAATGAAATTTCATTCTGGCCATTTTTGGCTTGAAATTTAAGTATTCGACATCTTTAGATATGTCCAACATTTTCTCGACTGATTTTTGACAATTATTGACTTCACTGTATATAAATAAATGCGCAAGTTTTGGTTAGGACTGACCTGGCGTACTGGTGGTGGCGATTGTGGCAGTGGTGTACGGCGGTTGGGCCATCTGAGCATGGCCGGCCAAGTGGCGGCCGTATCCATTTTGCACCCCCAGACCGTGCTGCTGGGGATGTTGAGAAAGTATACCGTGCAACAGACGAGTCCCCGTGGTGGTCGTCGTCGTGCCGGTCGATCCTGGCTCTGCCTTCACGCTCGCAAGACCCATTTGCTCTTTCTCGTTCGCATCATGCGGTTGGACCTCCCTTGTGTCCACTGAAACATCGCGAACACGAAGAGAACGTTAGATTTCTGCCCGCTTTTAGACGTACCGATGCGAAAAGACGGAAAAATAGAGCTTGACAATTATTTGAAAAAATCTTTCGAATAATTCTAAGGTGCAGTTTATTCTTCAGTCAATAGCTTTCGTTTGTTTAATTCATCGCGATTCGAGAGTATATCAATAACGCCCTAACGGTAGCGCTAAGAAGACGTAAGGAAGCGCGAAGGAAAAAAAAGAAGAAAAGAGGGGCATGGGAGGTGTTCGCGAGGGGTAGAGCGCGGCACTGCGGAGAGGAAGTGAAAGCCGGTGTCTCTCCTTGACCCACTGCAACGTTTCTACCTTCCTTTCAGGCAGTGCCAACCTCGCGGCTTCATTAAGCAATTTCTCGTGGCACCAGCAGCGAGGAAAAATCGCCGTGGAAAATCGAGGCGTTCCATACTGCGACGCGGCCGCTGCTTGTCTTCCCTTTTTTCAGTTTCGTCCTTGCTCTTCCGGCGTACCGCGCTCGTAATTCGTTATTGGCCTCTTTGGAGGAGGAACCATCGGACATGAAAGTGAACCGACTGCCTTTTTTGATATCGCGTTTACGTTTCGGCGCCCACACGGTTAAACGATCAGAAAGATCGTTGCGCAATCGGGTGTTTGCGCTCCAGACGAGTCTGAGTGTCCCGTGAGAAAACAATGACAACATCGATGCCACAGAATCGAGGGTGGGATTTAATGCCACGTCGAATACGTTTCGATTTTAAGTTTAACTTAATAAATGCAATAGACCAACGAATTATCCCTTTTATTATGTAACATCGTTTTACTGAGTCGAGCGTAGATTTCAGAATTTTTCCTCGGAATCTGTAAAACTGCAAGTCAATTTTTTTGTTGAAAGGAAATATGGTTCGACGAGTCTGAGAAACTGAACGTTCGTGATGCAATTTTCCCCGTGAAATCGGATCGCAAAATCGAATCCTCGCAGAATGTAGAGCAGCCAAACGCGAGAAAGCAGGGAGAACCGGAAGCGAGGTTGAAATTCGACCGGACGCAGCCGCGTTTCTCGAGGAAGTCGATCATCGAGAGTCCGACTTGCGATAAGCATCGTTGGCTCTCGAATTGAATCGGAAATTATAATCGTGTACGGATCTAATGACCGTGTTTAGACGTCGGTAAAGGCAACGAGCAAAACGATTAATCGCGTCCCGTTGTTTATTAACGAGGCAAGAGTCGACAATAGAGAGGAGAACCAAAAGAAACGAAAAAATCAACTGAGAATCAGGAATAATGAAGTACGTCGGGTAGAGGCAAAGAAGCTGGTACTCGACGTCGCCCTCATAATTTTCTACAACGACGCAATTGACAGAAGTCTGACGCAAGCACCAAATAGACGTCGGGTCCCACGCGATATCCAATACGACTGTTTATAATTTCTCGAGACTGTCCTTCGTAGCTCTCGTATTAGATAGGAAGCGAGATTCCTGTGAAATTGGATAGACGAGCTTTTACCGACCTGCAAACCGGAGAAAGCTCGCGACCGTTTACTTTTACTGGATCTAGCTGATCGGATACGAGACGCGGTTACAGCCAACTTTTAGCTCAACTATTTTTAACGAGACTTAATTACCTTAAATAGCTTTAATTGACAGATATTATTACTACCGATGAAATTATTATTATTACCAGACTGCGGATTTATATTCATTTACAAGATACACCAGTATGCTCAAATTTTATATATAGTGTCAACAATTTCCTTTGCCAAAATGCAAATTGAGGCATGAACATATCTTAGATAATTCGAGTAAAAATCCGCGGTTTAATTATAACCGTTATTAAAATATAAGCAGGGATCTTTCTTTCAAGAAGCTAAAGTTTTAATCTCATAACTCATTTTATAAAAGATCCCCAAAAACGAGAGATTTCGGTCTTAATCGGCAACCAGGAAATATTGTATTTAAGGTGGCGGATCTTTAAGGACCTCGTTGACCTCCGTTAACCCTGAACCACGCTCCTAACGAAGGCCTCTGGCGTTGAGGGTGCATTTCAGATTAAACGCGTTCTTCCTCCGACGGGATACGCAGCCGCGACCATTAAATTATTTCTGCACGCTCGTCGACTTCTTCGACGATTGCGAGGTCGCAAATAAACGTCTTGTTACCTGTAAGCAGACTTATTTTTTTCCCCCGTTCGTAATAACACCGACTCGTTCTTGAGCACCACAATTTCGTTCATCGAATCACGCCGTATCACGGGAACTGAATTTCCTTCTCGCAGTCGCCCGTGAGTGGCGGTTGTCGCGGACACAGAGTCGTTACGTACCCCGTCGGCATTAACTTTTCACGAGGTAAAAAAACACCCTCGCCGAGAGGATCCTGAAAAAGTTCCACGCGATCGTTACCGTCGAGGAAAAACGGAAAAAAAATCTGCGAACTTTTCCTAACGACACGGGGAGAAAATTAATTATGGCCCATTACGAGGCTATATGTTTAGCTAATTAACACCCAGGATTAACCACAGACCGCGGCGACCAGACTCCGTCGACAAACCATGAAGAGTTGAACGATGGAACACGAGTCCAATGATTGCCGAGGGTTAGTCGCCACGTTCAGCAGCTCAGAACGAGATCTCGGAGCATCGGTTTCCTACGATCGACCCGAGCGTTTTAATTACTGTCCGAGGCGTTCGGCATCGGCTCGTTAACGAGGAACTGGTGGTTCCGGTGCGTTCGACCTTGCTCGACCTTGGCTCGCCTTCGGGAAGGGCGAACGTCTAGCCGCATCGACCGAGCGTGTAACCCCGCGCCGCGGGTCGTTTCGAGAACCGTGGAATTTTCGCCGATGTTTTTCACCCTTCAGACCTACCCTCCTCCTCTTCTCAGCCGCCGACGTAACTCGCTTCCGGCGTATCGACAGTGTCGATCTACTTTCATCGACTCGTTACCGTCGAACAGCTCTCGAGTTTCGTTCCGTCGAATTCCCAACATTCCCCGCGTACCCCCCCGATCACGGTTGTGCAAGCACGGCTCGACACGCTTCGGCGTTAATGCCTCGCATTTTATACACACGGCGTTATTATATATGAAGGATATTTATTCCGCCATCGGTGGATACGGGAACGGAGAATACACGTGTTTGATAATAACAGAAAGCAGAACGTACGCGGCTATTATGCGGCGAGGTGTTCTCGCGATTCATTAAACGTAAAGTGATTAAGCGAAGCTAAAACCCGAGAGTAAACGACTCGGGGTCGTTAATGGAGGAAATGCGTGCTGTGTCCTATATGAAAATTGATATTCGAATATAGTTGAACAAAGTTCGCGTGTAGATCTTTAATAAAACACTTTGATACCGATGAACGTGTTGATTTTGCAATCTCTCGACAAATGCGTATCGGTGAAAGGGTTAAAGATTTTGCGAAAGAACCAACGGGCAGGATATGCAAAAGAAGCATTGCGTCCGTACGCATTGTTCCGGTTTCCTCACTTCCTCGGGGCTACCAGGCGAGTGTCGAAAGACCGCGGCGCGGCGCCGAGAGGGCGAGAGGAGAGCAAGCGCGATCGATCGTTCCATCGCGTCGTCTCTCTCGACGCGGCAATCGGGCTCGCCTCGAAATGATTCCGGCGTAAATACGCGCGCACGCACACGTGTGCACGCGCAGTACGTAAGGTCAGCGTTTTGCTCGGACCACGCAACTTTCTCGTCGCGTACACGCAGAGAGCGAGACGCACGCGCACACCTTTCCGCCGTGTGCCGGCCAATTGCGTAACGGTAACGACTCTCTCTTTCTATGTGACATCACGCGGCCCGCACGAATTACGAATGTGCCGGGGCGGCAAAGGTGACCGATTTTCATCGAATCCGACTCACTGTCAGCTGAACGTTGATTGCACGATGGGAATTTTGTTTCTATGTAGCACGGCTCGCGTTCGCTGAATTCAACCGTAACGACTTTCCATTTCGGCATAGAACACGCGAAAACATGTGCGTAGACGAAACAATTAAAGACTTCATATAAGTAATAATTACCTTCGTCTCATCGTACCTTCCATCCAAATCAAAATATTTAATGGTCGTATTAAAATATCTCTATGAGAGATGAAAACATTTTTTAATTCGGGTCGGAGCAATTTCATGGGTTTTGTTTTGCGTAAGATGGAAAAGAGAAATTCGCGCTGAGTGAACTATAGGCGTTTGACATTTAGCTACAGCGATCACGACGACGTTCATGACCCGGATAGTTCAATCGCCCTGTGCATTAAACATCTCAGGAACAGAAGAAGCTATCGCCCAAAGAACGACACACTCCCAGATCGCGTTTCTCATTACGTTCAATCTGATAGTATCGGTCGTTGACGTAGAGACCTCGATTTGTCTCATATTCTTTATAATACGTTATAAGAATTATGAAGGTGTACTGTGACGTACAGGGAATCGATGTTTCAGTGACTAACGTGAAGAAAGTTATTGCCTTATGGCAGTCGCAGGTGCAGCTGCACGTAGTTGTAATCTCGGAGACGGTGGAAATCACGGCTCGAAAGTAACCGTAATTAACCCTTTTTCGAATGCGTCACGATTTCGGAACACGTTCCCTTTGTTGCGTCGACAGCCTGATTTAAAAATGCACGAGATTCAATTTTGTACGAGAGAAATTCAAAACGAATTCAGAAAGTAATTTAGTCTTTTGATTGAAAAAAGACTGCAAATACCGGTAAAATTATTCTCGACAGGCCCTGCATTTCGCTATGAAAGAACGCAAAAGGGAAGGCAAAGACAATTTCATCAGATAAATTTTGAAGCTTTCGGTATAGAAGATCCAAAAGCCTAAACTTGAGAAACGCTCGGAACACGCGAAACCGGAATTGAAAACGAAAAGCGACGAGAGATAACTCGGTCTTTAATCTATACAAAGGTGTTTGTTTTAGTTCCGTGTAATCGGCTGGCTTTGATTCGTTATTTGTGGCGTTATATAATTTCGCGTGGTGGCATACTTACTTTCTCGCTTGGAT